GAAGCTGGTCAATAGTTCTCACGGCTGTTGTTTCACCATAATAATAATAATCTTTACCGAAAACTCTCTCTCGAGTTCCCAAGACGTGACGTGGCCCCATCTTTAGATTTGAGTATGTCAAAAAAACCTATATCGAGTCCCCAAGACGTGACGTGGCCCATCATTGGATTTAAGTATGTCACAAGACCCTATCTCTTTGATCAGGAACATCGGCTGTATTCGGTAGTTTCTAACTGCAGATGCATGCAAGATTTTGGTGCATTCACTTGTAACCTCTCGGTTGGATTATGGTAACGCCCTGCTCTGTGGTATATATGACAAACTAACTAGTCGTCTACAGAGGGTCCAGAACACTGCAGCACGGCTAGTTACTCGTACTCGAAAGAGAGAGCACATCACACCCGCGCTTTATACGTTGCACTGGTTACCTGTACGATACAGGTCGCAGTACAAAATTCTGGTATACACATACAAGGCACTGAATGGAACAGCTCCTCAGTACCTACAGGAGCTTGTTACCCTGTATCAGCCGTCAAGATAACTGCGGTCGGAGTCAGAATCTTTGATGTGTGTCCCAAAATCTCGTACTGTGACCTACGGAAACAGATGCTTTGGGAGGGTTTCGGCTACGTTGTGGAATAGCTTACCATCTGGTATTAGGAGGTTAAATACCCTGGCCAAGTTCAAGAGGGACATAAAAACTCACCTCTTCACGTCTGCATTTTAGAATCTTTGCAAAGACGTCATGTAAATACCACCCTTTTATTTGTTCAATTATGTGCACATTGCTTGTTAAATGTATGAAAGTCTTTGTTGTTTGTTTTCACAATTATAACCATTACTATTATCCATATGTTGTAAAATGCCTTAGAGTAATTTTACAAATTATATAGGGCGCTATATAAATGTTGTATATTATTCTTATCATTATCTCGAGTCCTCAAGACGTGATGTGGCCCCATTATAGATTTCAATACGTCACAAGACCCTATCTCGAGTCCCCCCAAGACGTGACGTTGCCCTATCTTTAGATTTCAGTACCCTATCTCGAGTCCCCAAGACGTGACGTGGCTCCATTTTCAGATTTCAAAATGTCACACGACCCTTTCACGAATCCCCAAGACGTGACGTGGCCCCATCTTTAGATTTCAGTACTTTATCTCGAGTCCTCAAAACGTGACGTGGCCCCATCTTTAGATTTCAGTATGTCACAAGACCCTATCTCTAGTCCTTACTAAATATATATTCACGCCCCTAGTATGTCTCGTGACCCAAATTCGAGTTGAGAGTATGTGACGTGATCATGAATTTATCTCCAGTTCCCAGTACGAGACAGAGTCCTATCTTTAGTCCCGAGTATTTTGCGTGGTTCAGGGCCATTTCGAGTTTGCGGTACTAACTAGCATGTGCGACATAAGGCGATTATTTAACATTTACACGGGTGTTTTGAACGTGTAACAATAAAACAATACAGAACACTGTATGAAAGGGTACGAAATCCTAACAGCTAGAACACTGTATGAAAGGGTACGAAATCCCAACAGCTAGAACACTGTATGGAAGGGTACGAAGTCCTAAGAGCTAGAATAATGTTTGTCCATCATTCCTTTATATGGGCTGTATACATTTTTTTAAACGTGAAATTTCTATATCAGGACCAATATTTTAGGAATATTTCGTCAATATCATTTCCGGGATGTGGTTTTGATTCCCTGATTTTTATAGTGTTTCGTCGATCAACAACAACGACAAGAGGAAATGCCCCGCAAGCGAAACACAAATTTGCATTTTCATAAACATTACAGCACTGCTTTGAATACTAAACCGCGCATTAACATTAAATTGATCAAACGTCTCGAGTTATAAAAAAGAGAATGTCTGGAATTTGATTCCAAGTACTTCAGATGTTTGTAGTCATTTCGTGTGAAAAGAATATTTATTAACTGTGATTGGATAAAAATCCTTATATTGTGTTCAATGCAATTGGGAAATAGGATAATCTCGTTTGTGAAGTATGTCAATTGAATTTATTTTTTTCAACAAATTTAATCAAATCTGGGATTGAGTTTTGGTTTTGAAGTGTCGTACATCATTCTAAAGACAGTCGGAAAACTCTTTGCATTCTCAGCACTTCTGCTTTTTATAATTATATTTTTAATGTCATAATACTTTTTTTAGTATTTAAATAAACAACATATGAATATTTTTTAACACATGAGCGGGGTAGGTTGGGGGTGG